TAATATAGAGTGATAAGCTGAAATCGTGAATAATACTCTGGCAAGTATTAGCTCTATAGTATAAATTTTATTATTTTGAAAATATAAAGTGATTGCTAAAATCGTGAATAGTACTCTGGCAAGTACTAGCTTTATCATTTTCAGTTCTTTAATTATAATATAAAGTGATAGCTAAAGTCGTGAATAATATCTTGGTAGGTATTAGCTTTATATTGTAAGGAATCTAAAAAGCCAAATATAGCCATTGACAGTTTGTTTATAAGTACTTCTTCTTCTAGTTATATCTTAGGATATCTTTAAGTCTAAGTATCTAATACTCCTTGGAAAACTAGTACATAAAGGCCAATAGATTAAACCCCTAATCTGTCTATTGGAAGTCTTATAGTACCTTTAGAGGCTATTGAATTTAGGTTCCCATTGCTATTATTTTTATTTTTTTTTGTTTTTACTCTTATATTTTTTTTTTATTTTTTATTTTTTTTATTTTTATCTTTATTTTTTTTTTATTTTTATTTTTATTTTTATATTTATATTTTATTTATTTAATTAATTAATTATTTTTTATTTTATTTTATTTTTGCCAAGTTCTTCTTTCTTTATTCTTATTTTTATTTTTATTTTTTTATTTATTTTTTTATTTATTTTGTTTTTTGGAAACTTAATTTTTTTTTTCTCTATACAAACTTTTTCTTAACAAACCTTTGATTTTTCTTAAAAATATTTTGAGTATATTTCTACTAATATACAATACTTTGATCTTTGTCAAGAAATTGAATTAGCTGCTTCTACACTTCAATCCAATACTCTTCTAACTTCTAAACAAACCTCTCTTCTCTTTGAATATTCTCAATTTTGTAGATTTTCTTGGGCTAACAGAAAAAACCCTTAAACAAAAAGATCTTGAGACCAAGAAGGAATAGTTAACCAAGATTTCAATACAACTTATACACCAATATATTATTTGAAAGCACCTAATCCTGACAACTCAACTGGTACCATTTATCAATTATCTAATCGCCAACCTCAACAACCAAAGGTTTATTTCTATACTGCTGCTGAATTTTTCAACTTAAATCACTACAAACAAGAAATACAACAAGATATAGTTTTTAAGAACGGTATTAAGCAGCTATATAAATTTCGACAACAATACAGATTTGCAACTGATCTTGATTAATTCTTTATGAATATTGCTCTATATCAAAATCGAATTCGAGAGTATAAATTTTTGCATGATACTAATCAGGTAGTTACAAAATTAAAATACGATTCAAGACCAGATTCTAGCTGTTCTGAGTGCAACTCTCCTGAACTTAGTTTACAAAATTCAAATCAGTTTATAAAATTTTGAAGTTGGTTTAGTCAGAAGTATCAAGCTATCTATTTTACTTGTATAACTGTTGATACTTTTGAAGAGGCATATCAATCTGTAAAGGATGAACAATTCTTTGAAACTCTTATTCATTTGTTATTAACTACTATTCGATATAATAATAATCAACCACCTAAAGAGTTTAATCAAATAATACTAGAAGTAAAAGCTAAGTGGATAGCAACAAATAAATTTAACTATTCACTTAAAAATTCTGAAAAATCCAATCAGAAAACTGACACTGAATCTAGACTTGAAATTTTATATTCAGAGTCTCTTTCAACTAATTCTTCTGTAAATAAATTAAATAAAAAGTTTGAAAAAGCAAACAAGCAAATTTAACAAGGTATAAGCCAAGCTAAACCTATTATTGGACAACTAAAAGACAATTTGGAGCCTACAGAAACACCTTTGGTATTAACTTCTCAAAATTCTCCTCTAAATAAGCAAAATAAAGATACTGAATCTTTAAATTTTGAAGAAGCTTACTTTAATACTATTAATCAAAGAAGAAATATATCTCAACGTAAAAGGTCAGAAGGAAATTATCCACATATTACTCACATAAAAAATAAGCCAACTGTAGAAGAACAAACTAATATGTATATTCCTAATGATTCTCATAGAATGGTTGAAGATCGTAGAGCACCAGTTGACTTTACCAATATGCGTCAACACCAAGCACAAAATCAACAACAAACCCCTCCTCCTGAATTTGATAACCAACAAGTACTTCAAACACTTTTAAGAGGCATAAATAAAATGTTTGAAAGTAATGCTACCCGAGCTGCAATAGCAACAACAAATCCTAAAGAGTATAAATTAATTGACTTTCATATTTTTTTAGGAGATAATGATGAAGACCCAATAGAATGAATTGAAGCCTTTACTAGAGCATGTGTTGGTAATAATGTAAATAAAACTAGAAGGCTAGCAATTGTACCAAATTTTCTCAAAGGAAATGCTCTTTCTTGGTATAATCAAAACAAAAATAATTTTCAAGTTTGGAAAAGTAATATCTATTCTACTCGTGCATTTACAAATCTATTTAAACAAAAATTTTGTAATCTTTTTAAAATAACTCAATGGCATTATACTCTTCGAAGTAGAAAGCAAAAAGCTGGTAAAACTATAGATGCATATAATTCTGCTCTTAATGAATTATGGCGCAGAGTAGATCCAGAAAATAACTACCTGGAAATGGACAAAGTTAGACAATTTGTTGATGGTCTTCATCAGGAATTTCAAATCCCAGTACAATCTGAAAGCCCT